CAGCTGTTGAACGGAAGTCAACTGGTGATCTATTCGCACGGTCTACCCCCAAGAATGTCCGTACGGTCATCAAAGAGGCAAGGATTCATAAACGTGCTTCAACCTCCAAACAACAAGGTGCTTAACCTGAACGCACCGGAAAACCTGGGACGACAATAACGGTTCGTGATGACTCTCTCATAGTCATGAACTTCAAAGGCAACCCTGACCTTCCTCTCAGTTTGCAGGACAAAAATGATAGGATGCTCTGAGGAGAATTGAACAAGAAACTTGAACTTCCAAGAATAGAGCCTTTGACAGTCACACGGCTCACTCGGGGAAAGGAATCTAAACATCAGAATCACCCGAGGCTACTTCGTGTAACACAAAAATGCTACCGACGTTGAGGATGTCTTACTAGCGAGTCATTTACTGAAATCGGATGGGAATGTAAGAATACTGCCTGACATACCGTATTCTGAGCACAATCTCATCCGGAACATCCCCAGAGAATCTCACGATCAGTTTTTCCGCGGGAGGAATATAATCGTGCAAGGTATACTGAAAAATACGGACCCTACTCAATCAAAAACTGACATTAGGGAATGGAAATTCATCAAACAGTCCTTGAGGCTCAAACACATACTGACTCAGCATATGACGAGACTAGCCAAGAAGGATGGTGATGCTAGACCCCGTCTAATGAAGATAACCTTCCCATCTTCCCATATGGCGGCTGCAACTCTGGAAGCATTTCGTGCCAACAGACGTCGATTGCCACCTGGAATCCACATGCACCCGGATAGGCCATACGAAGCTAGGACCAAACACAAAGGCAAGTTGGAGCTGACCATTCCACTTGCAATGGCGCAGGTGCATACACTCTTTGTGTTCTCCCAAGTTTTGATCTCCTTATTCCTCCTTGTCTCTTTTTCTCTTCTCAAATTTATTTCACTGTATTATACTCTTTAAATAACATCTCCAAACACTAATCTTTCCGATAACTGCTTATACTCTTATTACCTCTACCACTACGTGATTTGAATCGACCATTGCATCTCTGTGCTAATTTGGTGTGGCAACTCGAACTGATGTACGTACGTACGAAGTTCTACGTTGTTATTGACTGACTGACTTGTGGACTGTCTAGACAATAAAAAAAACGTGTGAAGGACAGGGCCTACCATCTCGGCAAACCTCATATAGGTGGGCTACCTGTCCATTCCGGTAAGGCTCATACAGACAAACAGGACGAAGCTCACGCGTTCCAAATTGAAAGTATAAACTGCTTATATATGAACGCCGCGAGTCTACCAAACAAATTGGAGTCATTTACAGGAAGCTAACTGCCGACATCGAGTACGATAGTCGTACGCTGGAAGGACTATCCCGCTCTACTCGTCTCGGTTTCACACACATCCTGATTCTAGGGGACTTTAATCTCCCAAGAGTCAACTTCGCGGAACACACGTACACTGGAGGCGACAACTTAATTGAAGCTCGGTTCTTCAACCTCATCGATGACTTGGGATTATACGAAAATGTGAGGTCGGCAACTCGTTGGAGAAACAGTCAGACACCATCGCGCTTAGACTGTGTGTTCACAAACGAAGAATTCCTAGTTGAAAACCTCTCGATTTTGGCTCCCCTGAGAAAAAGCGATCACGCCGTCATAGCCTTCAGTTTTGTCAGTAAAACTAAGCTAAGGTATCCCACCAATAACTTGCGTTGGAATTTTAAACGATTAAATGTGCCGGCTCTACACGACTATCTACAACAGGTGGTTTGGGATGTTCACCCTCAACTCGATGTGGACGGTCATTGGGACTTCTTACTGCACACGCTCTTACGTGCTACAAACCATTCAGTTCCTCAAACGGTTCCCAAAAGCTGCAAGCCACCTACAATAATCAAGAACCGTACCCTTCGCCTGCTAAGCCGCAAGAGACACTGTTGGGCGGAATACAAACGAACTGACAACGACGGAGCGTACAGGCAATATAAACATATCAGGAACATATGCACGAAGGCTATAAGAGAAGATAGGCTTCAGCACCAGACAAAGCTTATGGACAAATTTTCCTCTAATCCTAAAAGCTTATTCCGTTATGCAGTCTCTCTTCGTCAAGCCAAAACTTGAGTCTCCCAACTGGTAGGTCTTAACGGCCCGACCAACAACGATGGCGACGCCGCTAACCTTCTGGCTGAACATTACTCCCAGACATTTCAAACGACCGACATCAACTTTACTGATGACAGTTTCACCTGCAATTCCACAGGACTTTCCGAAGTGGACCTAAGCACTGACTTGGTGTTCCGGAAACTGCAGCACTTAAGACTAGACACTTCTCCTGGCCCGGACATGGTCCATTCCGCCATACTGAGGGAAGCAACCTCAATACTGACAACGCCGTTTAGTGTGATGTTCTCACACTCGCCAAGTCGAGGAAAACTACCGGAAAATTGGAGGCTGGCTTACATCACAACAATTTTCAAAGGAGGTCGACGCGGCCAACCTTCAAGTTACTGACAGGTGGCTCTCCTCTCAATACTTTCAAAAATCATGGAGTCCCTGATATGCGATGGTATAAATGACTATTTACTGTCCTTAAATTTCTTCTCACCCCAACAGCATGGTTTCAGGAAGGGTTACGCTTGTATTACCAACCTGCTGACTGCGGTTTACAGATGGACAAGCATCCTTGATCACAAGGGGAAGGTTGATATCATCTACCTAGATTTCTCAAAAGCTTTTGATAAGGTTAACCACTTGTGTCTTACCAATAAGCTCAAACGACTAGGTATCAAACCACCTCTAATCGATTGGCTTACTTCATACCTAAAACATCGACACTTTAAGGTCAGGGTTAATTTCACTTTATCTCAGGCTATGGAATGTCCCAGTGGGGTCCCCCAGGGCTCAGTACTAGAACCTCTTCTCTTCTTGATCTACATAAATGATCTCCCTCAACAGGTAACGTCAGACTTATTACTTTTTGCCGACGACGTGGAACTTTGGAGAGAGATACGCAACCAAGACGATAGACAGGCACTTCAGGAGGATCTGACTAGACTTCAAAGTTGGGCAGACGATAACGGACTTACCTGTAACACTTGAAAGTGTAAAGTAGTCCATCTGCGACATGTTGCAGACTACAGTTATAACTTAGGAAACTCCTCTCTAGTAGTATCCCAAGTCGAAAAAGATTTAGTTCTGGTGCCCTACGATTTAAAGTCTTACGCTGACTGTGACAAAAATGCCTTCCGAGCAAACTTTGCACTGGTATCATTGAAGCGCATTTTTGGCCAATTTGACGGAAGAACTTTCCATACAATCTTCAATAGTTTCATCCGTCCCCATTTGGAGTACGGAAACATAGTATTTCCCCCCTCACTCCAAAAGGATAAGGACACTGGAGCGTATCCAACGGCGAGCCACGAAATCAGTTCGAGGACTCAAATTTAAACCTTATGAAGAGCGCCTCCATTCACTAGACCTTTACCCATTAGAGCATAGACGTCTTAGAGGTGACCTTCTGATGGCTTACAGTATCCTTAACACTTCTGGACATCCTCTCAAACACCCACTTAAGCTTAGTTCCAACACTAACCTAAGAGGTAACACCCAGAAACTGGAAACACAACATAGCAAAACGGAATGTAGACACAACTTCTACTCCTTAAGAGTTGTCAAAAGCTGGAATTCGCTGCCGGCCGAGCTAGTCCAAGCGACTTCTCAGGAGTCCTTCAAGAGGCAACTTGACCTATTCTTAAGAACCAAGGACAGCATCACACTATGATTTACCAATTTCTTTTCCTCTTTTATTGTTAACATACCTAGGTTCCTGCCTGGAGGATTTGGTGATCCCCTGCTACTAGACACGGAAGCCTGTTAAGCGAAAGCTTCTTCTATTCCGTCCACAACCATTTGAATTTGAAAACCGTTGAATAAATGTTGACCATGGTCTAAATATAGTATACATATATGTATACATACATGTATGTGTTACCATAATATGACGGTTTACGGATGGTTTAGTTCAAGAGCTTTTTCTGGGTCACCTAAGCGATAGAGTTAATGAGGTTTTTGCATGTAAACTCGCTCCCTAGAAGTATCTTGGTATACAATTTTGAAGTTCAGATAGCTAGGGTTGGGGATAAAAAGTTAGTTATGAATCCTCATCCATGCAAGCATAGTTTACGTACGTAGACAAATAACCAAATGATTTTGATTGAGATATAGAGGGCCGGTTCCCCAATGTCAGGATTTTAGTTAACCTTGGGTTTTTTCCTCAAGTCGTGGGAATTGTTAATTTTCCACAGTGTCTGGGGAAAATATTGGTTAAAACCCGAAATTTTCTCAAACTTCTCGAGGATTTCCTCAAAACAACTTAAAACTTCGGGGTTTTAGTAGCATTCCCTCAAAATGTTTTATTTCATCTTATTCTCAAATTTCCCAAAACTGATAAAGCATTAGTCAAGATCGGGAAATTGGGTTGTGTCCTATTTTAGATTGGTTCACGGTTTTACAGTAGAGGAATTAATGTTAATTTGAAATAAACGTACTCACAAAATGTGAAGGTAGTTGCAATGAATTTTCTTCGAAAAATTGGATGTATTGAGAACAATAAATGAAATTCTGGCCTATATCCGATATCTTTGTTGTGAGCCTGTGTTAACCTTTTGATTTCTTTGGGCTTTCTTGTCGGTGTTTCTGTGAGGTTCCAGGTCTTTGGTAACGTTTAGTGGCAGTGGTCTAGCTATTCAGCTGCACTAATTTGTGTCGTTTTCAATCTTAACTTATCATAAAACATATTTTAATACAGCTGAAATTTGATTACTTCCAAATATTTTTTTTAAATACGTAAAATGACCAAAACTATCATTATTTTAACGTTTACTCAACATAGATATTCTTAAAATCTTATTTTACTTTTTTGTTTTTAGATTGTCGATATCCCGTTGTTAGCTCACTTATTTCACTCTGTTATTAGTTGAAAGTTATCGCACTAATAATCAGTATGACGGTTGTTGAACGAGATAATTTAAGTGGTTGTACGCTGAAGGAAAAGCTGGACTTCTACTATCGTGTTGGTATGTAACTCTCATTTTGGCCTCGCGATAGCCAATTTAGTCAACTTGAATCTGTGGTATATTAGTCTAGATTTCATTTTATGCTAGTTAGTTTAGTTCGGCCTCACTTTATATACTTCACTTTGAGCTGGTGGGTAATGATTTTAGTCATTACCGTTAGTATGATTTATTAGTTTAATATTTAATATCAAAAGTGATACAGCCAACCAGAAGAATGGGCCTTTTGTAACAAAATAACACACTCACATCTGAATTATTAACCGGAAAACAACACGAATAAGTGTTAAGAACGATCAAACGATATCTTTATACGTCTCTCACTATTCAATGAATTAAGTTTTAACTGCTAAACCTGATATTATCCCGTTATATCATTTGTGTCTTGCAGATTTGGGCTTTACAGTTGCTGATTTGCACACATGTGTGTATTTTATTTTGTATTTATGCAAGCTGTTCAAATGAACTGCACTAGTTTTTGTTTGGATAGGTGTTTTAATATAATTAGCGGCAATTTACATCACTTATTTTTTCAAGTTAGATGCATATCCGTTCTTATCAAATACACCATATTTAGTGCATAAAATGAGATATCTATTATAGCATGCTCATATCTAACATAGTAGATACCAGCACACTGCAAGTTGTACAGGGTTATTTGCCTCTAACAATATCTGTCTAGGAATGCTTTCTATGTGTTTGTCTTTTACTTTTGGTCGTTTTCGCTGCAACTGGTTATACGTTGTAATGAAAGTTGTTCTTTTACACATTGGTATAGAGACGAAATTAACATGATCAGTACTAAAGTAGTAGAATCAATTGTGCCAGCGGTAGTAAAAAGGATCAGGTATACAAAATATGGTTAACAAATTTGAAAATTATAAGATTTAAAATGATAACAAAACTTAGGACGTAATGGAAAACAGAGTAAATGAATCCACACAATTGAAACTGATTTTAAGCCACGCCTTTTAACGATTATATAATCGAGCAGACCTCAACTAGATATTCTGGACCCAACATCTTGATTCAATCTGTCAGTCAGTGATTTTGCGGACTGATAACTAGTTTTGGTTTGGCTGATTATGATTTCCCTCCTACGCCAACCAACATTACTCGTCTAAATACGGGGCGGTTGGTCATTTGTGATACAAATCACAGCAACCTCAGTTGAGGGTTCACAGTTTTATAAATCAATCTAGTATTTTTGCTTAATACCTTGAATTTAACCTCGAAATTATTTATTTAATGGTTCCAATATACTTGAGCAATGTTTTGAAGACACTTATGATCAAATAATAATAACATGTGAACGTCCTGTACTTCTAAAGAACGCGTTCCACAGTCATACAGTAAATTAGAATAAACCACTACGTAGAGGACATATCGCCTATGACGCAAGTGACAGGAGTCGGCGAAAACCAGTCGAATTTTCCATATTTTAGACAAAATTGGTTGTTTTAGATGCCTCAGAAATTCAATTCTTTTCTGTTTGTCACAGCCCTTATTCGGAGATTCTCCCTTAACTTTTAAAGAGGTGTTCGTATCTTCTCACACATCTCAAACATTTTTTTGATCATCTCTTACTAGGAAAGTCATCAAATATTAACTCCAGGGTGTTGTAATTTCGTGGTAGTTCGAAACTTCTTTTATACAATATTCGAGATTTATTTTACTCTCAAGTTTATTGAATATTTTCTCGTTCCTTTTTCTGTTGGTAGTAAAAAATCAAATTCTTCGCTTTCAACATCCTATCAGTGGATTATTTCCTCTTATGCCTATGAACACTAAATGTAGATATAGTCATGTACGAGATTCTGTGTACTGTGCCACAGTTGTATGGGCTCTACACCAGTGTTTCGCGTGAGTGGATTTTTAACAAAATTTACTTTAAAAACGTTTTACAATAAATTACTTAATTTTTGAATAAAACGATTGATCAAAATACTATGAAGTGATTATTTTTATATAAGTTTCTTGGAATTTTGATATTTGTCGTGTTTTATTAAAACAACACTCAGATTTGCTATCAGCGTTTTGCATTTGATGTGTAGTACATTGAAAATTTAGCAGTGCTGCAAAAAACTACATTAGTGTTTGAGCATCAACATTGCCTGTTTTCGGATTTCACCTATTGTACCAAAGTTAGTCCAATCTAGTTACTTCACTTGTTACGTGTAAAAAACATTATTGTATCCAGAAAGGTCGAAATTCAGAAAGTGGTTTAGATCGAATGAATAGTGTAGTGTGGTTTATTAGGTAAAGTTATTATTGTTTATTTTTAAACCTAGTCACTACTTTAAAACGCCTGTTTTATCAGCATGAATCTTCCACTTCGCAAATACTATTTTTTCCTAGTTAGTTCAAATGATAAACGAATTGGTTATATCTTTTGAATGCTCATAACTTCCATTCATTTTGAAAGGTGTTTTTTACAATTTGAAATTGTTCCAAAAATTACTAAGATTCGGTGAGACATTAATTGTTTTTTCATAATTTCCTCAATAATTTCCAAATTGCATGAATATTTAAGAAATAGACCTGTTAAGTTTTGACTTCCTAATGTCTAGTTTAATACGTTACTGATAATTTATATATATAATAAACTATTTTTTCATAGACGGATAAATGATGATGAAGGACGTCATTATGAACTTGGTCAAAGTGCTGTCAAGTGTATGCGTAGCATTTTAATGGGTTGGATGCAACAATCTGCGCGGGTATGTACCATTATCATTACTGTTATCATTATTGAGTAAGATGTATTTAATTTTTAATATTCAGTTTTTCGTTTTTAAATGTTTTTTTTGTCCTAATGTGATCCATTTAAAATAAAGTAATGGTATACCAATATGTTAATGTGAGGAAGATGATTCAATTTTTTTATGGAGTTTCCTTATAATAACTTCTAGAAATAATAAAATTAGTAATTAGCTAATATTACTAACTAGTTTTTCATGAGAGCACGCAAACTAGTCAGTCAGTGATAACCAACGTAGAACCTGCTACTAATATGCGTTAGCCCAAGTTATCTTACCACACTAACACGAGATGAAATTAACGTAATGAATGGCAAGTGATTTGAAATAATGTCGTGGAAATCATAATGAGGATTAGATATTGAGGACATAGTGGTGAATACATCTGCACTATTGTGCCTGATTCCGACTCACTCAGCGTCTCCAATTAGCACGAACTGTTTTGATTAAAAGATAGATATTCTTAGTGTTTTGTCAAATCATTTCTCGATTAATCGTAAGTAAAAATGGACTTTTTATGCAGAGTTTTTAAATAAGGTTTTCAAGTGATTTAAACTTAACAAAGTTATTTGAATATATTACCTTCTTGATTTTCTCCGTAATCCCTACTTTAAAATTCAAAATGTAATGACTCTGAAATATGATCTCATTCAATTTGTTATTTGCAGTTGGAATACTTCAAAAGAGTTCAAAACTTGGATACTTGTCTGCACTCACGTCTTGATTATGAAACCGGTGAACCTATTTATGATGATCATTATAAAAACTTACAAATGGACTGCATTGGTCTGTATGTAATTCAGCTGGTTCAAATGATTCATTCTGGACTTCAGGTTTGTTGATTTTGATAAAAAAAATTGTCCTTATGGTCGAATTATTATGCAGACTGATTCAGTCAAATGAAGACCTTGTGATGGTGTGCTATCATTCACTATACCTTGAGTTTTATTCATCACAGAAAATGAAATAGTAATTAATAACCACCAACCAACTGGCTACATAAATAAAGTGAATGGATTTATGCGATAACTAACACTTTTCTGATACATCACTGACTCTCCACTAAATAAGCATGTTTTAATCTATAAAACGTGTAGGTTTTTTCAGTATTTTCAATCGATAGGGTTGTGTTGTTTGGATACATTGGATTAACCAACTGACGGTCATTGAAAAATTTATTCTCAAAAAATGTAAACTTGAGTTTCCAAAATATAGTCTGAGTTGGTGGGTGATCCTCGAGGATGCCCTAGTTTTGTCCGTACACAGAGTAATGTTTGTATATTTAACAACTTATCAGATTTTCCAACAGATGTTGATGAATACTGATTGTAAATATGTATATTCACTGCAACATATGCTCGACCTAAATCCTGTTCCTATTAGCCATGAGAGATGGAAATGTTAAATTGTCAGAGGTTTTGGAATTCAAGTAATTGACTTTACACTATATTTTACTTAGATTTCCTCTAACAACATTCCTTACGTTTTATGTTTCTGTGATACTGCATGGTTCATGTTAATAATTACATTGAAGATTTTTGCTAACCACAGAAATAAACAAGATCTTAGTTGAAGAGTAGGTCGTTTATCCACTGTCTGGCAAATGTGATCTCGGGGCATGAATTCATTTCATTCAAGAAGTTCCTCATACTAAATCTTCATAGTTTATAACTTCTACTTTCTTTGAGTCAAGACCTTCATGAGCAGAGTTCTCAACCCTAGTCTCGACATTATCTTTACCGCGGCTTTATTGACTGTTGTCGACACCTTTATCCACGAAAATCGAAACTTAGAGAGCAATATGAGTGTATAACATCATGTTTAATTTCTTCATATTATATGTTTCTTTCAGATTGTTTACACAAAAGATGAAGTAGCATTTGTACAAAATCTTGTGTTCTATTTGGAAAGAGCCTACCGTATCCCAGATTATGGAATGTGGGAACGTGGAACAAAGCAAAATCGTAATATAACTGAATTACATGCAAGGTAAGTTTATATATATGTGGATAAAGTTCATAAGTTATTTCTGGAAGTTACCATTCCTTTAGTCTTCGGATATAACAGTGTTATATAAAGTTAAAATAATATGTTAGTTTAGTCATCCTGATACATTTTTCTTCTTCCAACGAGAAGTGCACTCTGACTTAGAAAATAGTTAAACAAGTGCTATATTTACTTCATCCATTTCATTCTATCCAAATTCGCGACGAGATCAAATGAACTATTATCCATTCTGAAAACTAAATTCAACTCCGGTACATTTCCCAGAGACTTAAAATCACATGATAGCAGATACTAATCAAGTTTTCATCAGTTTTACAAAGGTTCTGTTGACCAGCACTCTGCTAGAGTAAATAAAAATCCTATGTAAATGAACATAGCTTGGTTTTAAAGAATCATTTTCTAACTGAAAGTTCATATAATAAATCTTCTGGTTTTTTATTGGCTTTTTCAAACGACTACTTTGTAATATTTTCATTTGACAGAATATATCATGTATCGAGTGTAAATGATTGGCAAACTATGGTTAACAAACAATTTGAAGTGTAGTATAGTATACCAAACTATATTTTATGTTACTTATGCAATGGCTATTTCGTAAATTGTTGATAATGTTCTTTTTTTTCATTTGTATAGAATTGTGTTCCATCTGGATTATGCTTTATTTATTATGTAATAAGTTATGGATGAACTGTGTATTATTATTGATTTTGAAATTTTCATAATCTTATTTCCTAATTAGCTCTATTTGTATGGCGAAAGCTGCATTGGAATCGGTTGCTGGATTCAATATCTATGGTTATGAAGGTGGACATTCTTCTATCCTTTTTATGGATGCTGACGCCCACAGTCGTAATAGAATAATTATGACAAATTTGTTACCTAGAGAATCTGCATCAAAGGTAAATTATGTTCCTTTAACTAGTACGATTTCATACTCAATATGTGAATATCATAAGTTATGAAAAGGGAGTCGAATCAAAATATTTTGAGTTAGGGATAATATCATTTCCTTTAATTGGTTCTTATCAACCACATAAGATCTTAAATGTCTCTTCTTGATGGTCTGGGATTTTCAAATCTCCAGTTTCATTTGGAATCTGTCAACCATATCGTGTAATATGGCCATTAATTGAAATGACATAGATCTTAGTTTGGCGTATTTATTGTTGAACACTAATTGAAGATCAGAACCTATCACTTCTCAGGCCGTACAATACTGGACGAAGAATGTTTGAATTTCAGGCAGAAGCAAAAAAGAACTTGGATTTATTCGAGATTTCAGGGATATCTGTCTGATAAACACTGATAGCCATAAAAACTAACCATGGGTGTTGTGCTCCATAATCTAAAGCTATTCAGCACACTAACTAACATCCCTGAAGGAAAATAAAACAGACTGTATCAAACTAAAATAAAGCCACACTCTGCTCCATACATATGTATTACGATGGTTCGATTAACTGACGAAATACTGGAATGATTGAGATAGCCAAACTAATAAGCTACCTACTTGACCGGTTCCTACACATCAGCCGCATTGTCAGGAAAGAACGAAACAACGGGTTAGCTGGTTGAATAAATATTAGCGAAATAAAACGGGCATTTACATGCCACGTATAAGGCTAAGATGTTTTGACTAAGCTATTGATCGGACAAATGATTAACCAATGGTGGAAATAATGATCACAAACGAAGTGGTTACACTTTAATTTTATCCCTCATACCAGTTCGTTGTTATTCTTTTTGTAACTGTTGTGTTCCATGTTCTAGGGTACTGACGCTTCACTTATTCCTTCATTGTGTTGGCCAGCTTATGGCACATGTTCAACTAGTACACGATTGCCAGCTCTGGAACGCTGTTTAGAACGTTTAAAAGGTGTTTACGGCTTCAAACGGTTTACCCGAGATGGTTATGCTACTGTTTTAGACACAAATAGCGAATATCAACCGGGAGAATTGATGGTATGCTGTAGTTAGTTATATCTTGGCCATTTGTTCTCTGGTAACCAGTGAATTAAAAGTGTTTTGTTTGTTTTCGTCTGATAAACGTGCTAGTTTAAACCTGTGTTCGACTGAAGTTTGGTATATAGAGGAATAGATTTAGACTCGCTGGTACAATCTTCCCCCGAGATAGTGGTTTCAACCTCTTTTGAGGTCGTCGGTGGGCTTGGCTAAAGAGTTCCGGACTAGGAAGAAACATTTTCTTCTAGTGCTCTTATGTTTTGAATAGTGCTATGCTTTGGTTTGTAGGTGGCTGGAGGTAGTCAACAGGAAATTCTTGTCCTAGGTTTCGTGCTTATTGGCACTCGCCAGCAGGGCAAGTATTTTATCTTTTTATTTTCGGTAATTTATTAAAATTCCTAGTTGTCAGGCTTAATTACCTGCTAACTTACTTACTTACGCCTGTTACCCCTCATGGAAGAGCATAGGCTGCTCAACAGCATTCTCCATCCAACCCTATCCTGGGTAATTGTTTCCAGTTGCTATTTATCCTTTTCATACCGACGTTGTGTGTTCTTTGGTCTTCGTCTTTTCCGTTTCCGTTCAGGATTCCAAGTTAGCGTTTGCCTCGTGGCTATTTGATTGCTTATATCAGATTATTTTGAAATGGTTTAAATTCATTGATATACATTATTCTCGAGGTATATACTGACTGATTATTAAAGTTTATTAATTACTCATACTTATGTGAATGAATGATATTTTTCTTCGTCATTTTAAATAGCTTAATTATTTCTCGTTATTTGTCTGTAGAAATTTGTTGGAATCGAAAGTGAATGGCCAATGTTTTTTGCATACATGATTATCGAAAGTAAGTTGAATGTCAGTCACTCCCCTTTCAACTACATCATAAAGTTGTGGTATTTGTTATTCAGATGAAGTGTAGAGTAATTTTGTGACTTATATTTATTGAGTGTTTACTGCCCTCTATTTTTATTAAATGTAAATTAATAATCAAAGTACAGATTTGCTTATTCAGTTTTGAGTCATACTTTTGTGTGCAAAGTTTAATGATACTAATCTACTGTCCATATTGATATGGATGAAGCTTGTGAACTAATGGCTGAAAGTTTAGTGCTGTTTAACTACTACTCTGCAGCTCCACATTCTGGATACGTATGAAAGTAATCTTATGGATATTCTCCTATCTTCACTGATTGTGAATCTTTTAACACAGTATGCACGCTATATAAATTAATGATTGGAACCGTATAAAAATTTCTCACTCATTCCTAAATCTACCAATCAGAACACCAAAAAGTCAACCAAGCGCCTCATTATTTTCATTAAGATCATGAACCCATCAATGTTAGACCATCATTGAAATCCTAGACTCACTGGACGACCGCTTCGTCCTAGTATGGGACTCCTTGGCAGTGTGCACCCATGATCCCGTGCATAGTAGTCGAACCCCAAGACCTTCGGTCTTGCGCGCGAACGCTGACCTTTTAAACCACTGGTTTGGCATCCAACGGGTTAATATCTAACTTCAACCAATCCACGATATTGTACGGCCTATTTAATATTATCCTGCATTAATAAGACTAAAACTCATTATTATATACGTGATGATTTGATGATTATATTAAGCATTCAATTATTTGAATACATTTCGAAATCGGAACATTTAAATAATTGAACAGTTTGTTGTTCAGTTGTTTCAAATTCCAGTCTAACTGCTCACCGAAGGCGCCAAAGGTCCGTTGATGGCGGTCACTTCGTTGTCCACTGACACCGACTTCGGTGGCTTGGACATGTTCTCCGAATGTCGTCCCACAGAATTCCACGTCATGCATTATTTGCCGACTCTGGGACTGGTTGGAAGAAGCGGAGAGGTGGTCAGTGCATGACATGGTGTCGTGGTATGAAAGAAAGTTGCAAAGGACTGGCTTCTGTCGGTCCTTCACGACTCCCTGGTTGGGGTCTGAGAGATGGTGCAACACAGTGGCTAGAGACGTTATCAGATATGGCTCAGAATAGAAGCCAGTGGCGATCCTGCTGTAATCTTCTTTTACTTTCTTCATAAAAAGTGGTTGTGTCTCCCTTACCTGAAAGATTTCTTCCGATTGTACCTTTGCGTTCCCTCATTACTACCACACTACCTTACACCAATCTCTTCGTTTTTGTTCTCTTTTTTTTCTATTTCTCTTCGAATTCTCATTGCTTTGTGTGGCGCATATATATTGGCGCTCTCATGTACCAATATTTATATGTTCAAATAAATAAATAAATAAACCAGTCTAACTTGCCAGTCATCTATACAATGTCAGGTTATATCTGAGAGAGGCTATAGTTTTTTATTATCTTTATAGACTTTATTCTAACACTCACAATTCAGCTCTCATATTAGTACACTCGTATAGATTTGTATAATTTTTTTCTTTATGGTTTAATTCCAAATGTTAAAATTCATTGCATTCAAAGTTCTAGTCAAAAAATGACCATGTTAACTGGTATAGTGAGTCAATCAGAAGTGACCTAACGTGAAGATCACTCATACATCGTCAAAAATGACCTAAAAGACTAATTCATATCACTGACTAGAAGTGGGTTCATTTTATAAGGGGTAGGAATGTATCTATTTAAATGAGTATTTTTGCATAATATTCAGTAGCCCAATCAACTTTCTTTTCGACCATTGTCTTCTTGCTCAAGTAGTCAGTTCGGTGGTAGTTGGGGCTTTGACGCATAGCATGTTATGTATCAATATCAGATCTCGGACATCACCCATCATAATATTAAAAGCATCACAGTCACTATCCGTGTTTCATTGTATCTAAGTCTTATTTTATTCGGCAGTTTAAAAATCCCCATAGAATATTCAAATATTCTTCATATTTTATTACATTTCAAGGAATATCATTAAACGCACGGCGTTTTTGTATTTCTTTATTTAATTTTTTTACCCCATTAAAAAATTTTTCATCCCATTTTTCATTTTTTTCTCATTCCGTTTCGTCCAATTAAATGGCTAGTTTTAAATTCGTTATAATTGGTTATTTATTTCTTAAAATTGAAATAAAATGTGAGTACTTGTCGACTGAACGCCTTTTCTTCAAAATTACGGACGATAATAACGTACAAAGTACAAGCTCTGTTGTTTCTCACTTTACGACGTACTGCCATTATGCGGTGTGAGATTCTCATTTTCATAGAGATCAGAAGCCGTATATTAAATTTGTATGTTGTAGAAATGGCTGAAGAACACCTAGCGGATCCTCACAGCCGAATAGACGAAGGAGGTAATTTCACTAGTGTTATTATATTGTTCTTGAAGGACTTCAATGAACACTTAATGTCCGGCTTTCATCTTTTATAAGTTTATTGAAGGTTTCTAACGTCGATTTGGATGCCACGTTAAGCAATGACGAAGAAATTGTTTCTATAACCTCAGAAGAATCCAGTAACCAAAACAACGACACTGATGAAGAAGCTCACGACATCAAACTTTGCGACACATGCAATCTTGCTCAGCCGGCATGTGAAACTGGTGACGGAAGCACTTGGATTTTTTGTCTCTACAATGCAATGCTTCTTTTTGTGTGCTTACGACTTACTACCACAATTCCATAGATCCCACTGTCCCATGTGCGGCTCTATTACGGAATCGTAGTCACGCTATTGTTCAAGAAAATATGAACTGTTTAGAGACCGAGTAAAGGCCCTTCTTAGGGCCACCCACAATTTGATTTAAATTCTTTTGTTTCAATTCGTTAAAGAATGACCAAAGGATTTTTTAAATCTCTTTTCTAATGAAGTTGTTTAACTGTTCCATCTGATAACTCCTATCTTGCATACAACAAGTTTTTTTTTAACTTAAAGCGTTTACTGAAAATTAGTAAGAATAAGTTTAAGTCATCACTAACTATAAGCCCGAAATTATGTACTAAGATCATCTCACTGGTACAACAACATTATTTCCATGCGAAAGGTCAAGTGATGAATTAGAATCGCTCACGTATTAGTAATACTTTTTTCTGATCTATAAAATGTCTATCATCTAATGTACAGTAATCTATCTGACAATAGTACATGCAAAATTTAATAAGAATATTTTAATACAGTGAAAATTCTCATATTGACGTGTGGCAAATAAATGTAGGCACAGTGGTCTAGTGGTTAAGCGCTCGCGCGAGAGACTGACAGATCCTGGGTTCGAATCCCGCGAGGTGGGGTCGTGGATGCGCACTACTGAGGAGTCCCACAATAGGACGAAACGGCCTTCCAGTGCTTACAGGTTTTCCATGGTGGTCTAGCTTCAATTGACTCATGATCTCAACTACTGAGATTTTATTTATTATATTGACATTAAACGTTGGCATAGCTAAGGGTTAATTGATACAGTTGACCTTATTCGCATTCAGCTTTATAATCGAACTGAAAATTTATTTTGTCAGATGTAAGCCTGTTAATTTGCACTTAAACAATATTTCTAATGCTTGTCAAAAATGGTTATTCTTGTAACGTTCAGCTATTTCGTGTTTGACATTAAAAAATAAATATTCACATATAACGAAAATGTACATACAATTTTTTAGTGTTCGTCGTTTAATAAAGAAAACTGATGATTCGAAAAATGATTCCAGACTTTCTAAATCAGTAACGTATGCTATCTTATTTACAAAAGGCATCAAAACATTAAGATAATGATTTGGTCAGACTGCACACCTACAAAACGTCTTCTGTTGACGTAAAGTGAAAAAAACCTTACGCGCACTTCCCAAGCACAATAACCGATTCACACTACTGCGTACACAGAGAAGTATGTTTTTGTCATAATTATAAACTACTCAACTACATAAAATGAACAATGTACAGTTAAAAACAATTTATACTTTTAATGGACTAGCAAAATAACGCAATTACAATCCTGCATTTATTTACGATACCATTTTTAAGGCTAAACTAAACAACTCTTTTGTATTAAGAATTACTGTTTGCAAAATAACCAAATCATAAATATTATTTGCTACCTTCTCTGAAATTATTATTAATTTAAGAAAGCGTAATAGTTGCTTCATTTATCGATCCTTAACGGTTAGCGTGAACAATACATGCCCATTTTCACCAAACATTATTGGTTTTTCATTGGTATACTTTCCTAATTCTGATTAGATTGTTTAAATGGTGATCGAGAGAAAGCAATAGAATATGATCAATTAATGCAACCACTTCTTGTTCATCCTATATCGGAATCATGTAAGTAGTTAGTTCGATGAATGATAAATGTTAAAAATTAACTTCTGGAATTATGACACTAATGAAGATCTGAACTAGTGAAAATAAAATGTGTTGTAATTCCTCGATAAATTTGATAAAATATTCATTATTACTGATATAACTAATGGGGTCGATCTTTAACTTTCAACTCAAACGTAGAACCACGGAACATCTGACAAAATATATAAATGTAATGTTAACGAACTGGAGTTGTCAATCATTTACGAAATATGAAATAAAAATAGTATGATTTATAAGGGATCTGTCAGTTAATAAATAAATAGTCAGTGATAACAATGAAAGTTATAAGCTAGCCAGTGATTATTCATGTAAACCTGTAGCGAAATGTTTGAACTAGTGAACACTATCAAAAGTAGCTTTAGTTAAATTTGAGTGTAAACGTATATGTGTCTGATTCGCATGATTTAGATTTCCGTCACTTCGAATATCTTATACTCAAGTTATAAATGAGCATTAAATTCGCAGCTTGTTCATCAAGTTTAAGAAATGTTTATTCGAAATTCCGACATTACTGTCGTTCAGATGTGTAATTGATAACTTCATGAAAAGACTACATTTATTAATGTGCATCGTATGTAAGAATATGTTTCTTTCTAACTGTCTTGCATATCTTTGTGCGAAACTATTATTCAAATCTGTTTTATAAAGTAATCGATGCTAAATAATGACACAGACCCATGGTCTTTGTGAGGATATTTTATGTGGAATCTGTTTGTTCGGTAATCACGTTAGTGCTAACTCACTACATTAGGCACACATATCTCCGATTTTGTATGTATCTTTATTGTTGGTTGTGATTGAACTTTCTCTACAGATGTTAACCGTACTAATAAGTCATTAGGTTATTTGTATCCAAAGTTAGTCATACACGACCGATGAAATTTGTCAGTTTTATATTCTTATAAATCTATGCAAGTTAAAGGAACATTTCGTATGGTGTTTTGATGTCTGTCATTTCACAGGAATGCTTTTCAGGATTAATCAATAGAAATTTATTTTGATGTAGCTTGACTGTTGTATATTTTCAAATTCAAACCGAACAAGCGATGCTATACGGAAAAAGGTTCAGGATAGGTTACCTACAATGTGCTTTCCAATTTGTGTAGATCAATGTAACTACTGTTTAGCTAGTTACAAGGTTTGTAATCAAGAGATCTTATCCTTACGCTCTTGTTAACCAAGTCTATTAAGTGACATTCTTACTCACGTGATAATTTGTGAGCACTGTATCAAGATACACAGTTTGTTTTAATTTTGTATTGTGTTGAATAATCTACTGGAAGGAGCAAGCTTACACTTAATATACATGTATATTTTAAGAACTCTATTTTTCCTGACATAGATCCCTGGCTTCCAAAGTTTTATTTTGTTCCTACTGAAGAATTGGAAAAAGAGCGCCGTTGCCGTGGTTCAGCAATTCGTAAAAGCAGTTTCCGTTTAGTCGGTGAATCTCGTTTCCTTTGGGGGCAATCAATCTATATTATATCTCAGTTACTTAGTAGGTTGGATTTCCCTTCTTTCTGAATAATTTGTAGATTACAACAAAAATTGTGATGTAAAGTTTAATTGTTTTATTTTGGATGCTAAATAATTCCTAATGTTATGACTGCTTGAAATGGACAAAAATTACTTGAATAGATGAAGACAGAGGAACTGGTAGTTTTTCTCACGAAACTGATCTTTCGATCTCGGTTGGGTGGATGATAGAAGACAGAACTGTACTGAGCAACTAATTAAGTATATCTGAATATATATTAGGAAATTTGGAGGTTTTTATTTCTTCAAATATAATATTGTTTTTTTTTTTATTCAATGGTAAACAGTAAATAGCCAAGACTGAAAATGAAAATTAAGGAACAATTGATGACTTTGTGTTCATTGTAACACTTAAGTATTACATAAATTTAGTTACAAATTATAGATAAGAAATGAAAGTAACAGTTTTTGGGTTTAATTTATGGTCTTAGTATCACAGCTTGTACAGTTGCTGTTTTCCTCTCTCAGAATTTGATTAAATATCAGTTTGATTAACTCCTCCTGTAGCTCTTCTGAGGCTACTGCCAGTCTCAAGCCCGGATAAAGGAAAAGGGTAAGAAACCCCATCCCGTAGAAAATATCTTGCTAAAACAACGCTAACCAGAATAAACAAATTAAACCGTTTAACCTCTCCACTGGAAGTTGAAGGATCTTCATTCAGAAGAATTATGACCCCTCACACTGAAAGCCGAGATTGTTCAGGAGGCACGAGAGCGATATTCCTTCAAGCAACCAGAGCAACAATTAATATAGGTACGTGGAATGTCTGGACAATTTAGGGGACCAGGAAGACTAATAAAATAGCTGCGAAAATGAGGAGATACAACTTGGTGATGCTCGGAACCAGAGAAACCCATTGAACCCAAGCTGAACAGAAAATGGATAGATTTGGAAGAGATGCTGTTGTACTCTGGTCACGAAGAGGAAAGTGCTTTACACGCTCAGGGAGTTGCTCTAATGCTGTCCAAATAAGTAAGGAAAGCACTTATAGGATGGGAATCTTACGGATCCAGAATCATAAAAGTATCTTTTAAAACAAAGGAGAGAATCACGGTGAATGTTATCCAATGTTATGCTGCAAGAAGTATCATCATAAGGAATGGATTTTCATCGACACCCTGGACAAGATTCAAGAAAGGAAGAAAACAGTAATTGGCAACTGCCGAACAAGAATAGAGAAAGTCAAGGCACAAGCAAACAAGCGAGTGAAGAGGAGCATTAGAGCCGACAGGCAGAAATACGTGGAAGAACTAGCAACGACGGCGGTAAAAGCTGCAAGAGAAGGAAATACGAGACAGCTATATGACACAACGAAGAAACTAACAGGGAAATATAGTAAACCAGAGAGACCAGTCAAGGACAAAGAAGGCTAAACAATCACTGAGATTCAAGAACAGAGGAACAGATGGGCAGAGCACTTCGAGGAACTCTTGAATAGACCAGCTTCATTGAATACACCGGACATAGAAGCAACACCTACAGACCTTCCTATGGATGTCACTCCACCAACGACGGAAGAAATCAGGACAGCCATTAGACAAATCAAGAGGGGGAAAGCAGCAGGACTTGGCAATATACCAGCCGAAGCACTGAAGTCAAACGTGGAAGCAACTGCAAACATGCCCCACGTTCGATTCAAGAAGATTTGAGAGGAAGAACAAGTGACGATAGACTAGAAAGAAGAATAGCTCATCAGGATACCAAGAGATCTAAGCAAATGTGAGAATTGCAGAGACATCAAACTACTATCAGTATCAGGAACCGTTTTGAACAGAGTATTGTTGAACTGGATGAGAGATTAAGTAGACGCTCGATGTCGAAATCAGTAGTCTGAACTCCGTAAGGATCGGTCGTGCACAGACCAAACTGCAACATTACGGATCATCGTCGAACAATCAGTTGAGTGGAACTCGTCACTGTACATCAACTTCATTGATTATGAAAAGGCATTTGACAGTGTAGATAGGAGGACGTTATGGAAACTTCTTCGACACTACGGAGTTCCTGAGAAGATTGTCAACATTATCCGGAACTCATACGACGGACTACAGTGCAAGGTCGTGCATGGAGGACAGCTGACAGACGCAATCCAAGTAAGGACCGGAGTCAGAAAAAACTGTCTGCTCTCTCCCTCCCTCTTTCTTCCAGTGGTCGACTAGATTATGAAGACCTCGACATCTGAGGGAAAGCACGGAGTACAATGGACAGCTCAGAACCAATTAGACGATTTGAACTTTGCAGATGACCTGGTCCTTCTATCCCATACACACCAACAAATGGAGATGAATTAAACTAATGTAGTAGCAGACCCTGCATCACTAGGTGTCAACATACACAAGGAAAGAACCAAGATCTTCAAATAAAACACGAAGAACACCAACCCAATCTCACTTGATAGAGAAACTCTGGGAGAGCTGGGAAGTTCCACGTATCTGAGTAGCATCATAGATGGACGTAGAGGATCTAATGCAGAAGTAAAGACGAGGATTAGCAAATCTAGGGCCGGAGTCCTATAATTGAAGAACATATAGGACTCAAAACAACTATAAAGCAACACCAAAATCAGAATCTTCAATACGAACGTCGAGACAGTTCTACTGTACGGAGATGAAACGTAGAGAACTACTACAACTATTATCAGAAGGTGCAAGTATTTATAAACAATGGTCTACGTAAGATACTGAATGTCCGTTGACCGGATACCATCATCAACCTGCTGTGTAAAAGAACAAACCAGGTTCGAGCTGAAGAATGAATTGCGAAACAACACTGGGGGATAGGACATACATTGTGGAAATCACCACACTGCATCACGAGACAAGCACTAACTTGGAATCTTGAAAAGGAGACGGAAAAGAGGAAGGCGAAGGAACACACTGCATCGAAAATTTGAAGCACCCATGAATAGGGTGAATAGCAACTGGAAAGATTTTCCCAGGACAGAATTCGACAGAGAATGTTGGTGGTCGGCCTATGCTCCTCGAAGAGGGGTAACAGGTGTACGTAATGAATTAAGTAATTGGTTTGATTAGTTTGTTTACAAGTGTTGCGGAAGCGTTTGTTCCCCACTTTTTGTTCTAAATCCTATTTTAAGCGAGGAAACAAATATGGGAGTGATCATGTTCAACTGAAAATGGTACTGATGATTCATATGCCCAAGTAAAAACGGCACAGTCTCAGATTTCGGTATACAACTTTATGAAGACAGTTCTATCACGAATGCTTCTCTACATTACTGAAGGTCAGATATTACAGCAGTTTTATCACCATTCATTACATAGTTGCGTTGTGTTCTTTTTATAGACTGACAATTTATTAAGCAACAAATTGGGAATCATAAGCTGTTATTTTATTTCTCCATTTTCTTATTTTATTACTTAGCAAGTTACAAGATGTTCCCAATAAATGTCTTTTTTTATTCATAGTTTCTGGATGTCTTCTACCAAGTGATTTGGATCCAATCGGTCGAAGACCATCACATCGTTTTTCTGGAATGTCATCTACATTAGGTAACGAACTTTTATTTTCTGTAAGTTTGTGATCCATTTCCTTCAAAATTCTTTTATTTCCTTATTCACAACATATTTATTTAGTTAGTAGACTGCATTACTTATAAATGCATTTCATAATTGTAAAGCTAGGAAATAATTTTAGTTTCTTGTTTTGCCGTTTACACTTCAAAATTAATTTTTAAAAGGTCCATTTTAAGTTACTAGCTGGGTATTCAGCTAAAAATGTACTATACCACAAATTACTAATACATGTTCAGACAAAGTAAGCATGAAAATCAAGTAAAATTTAACTAGGATGGGTGTTGACAAGATGCCTTTACGATTAAAGCATTCGACTTTCAACCGAATAGGTTGGAGGGTCGAATGGCATTTTATTGACCTTAATTTTACCACTTGGGTAATGTCTATAATAGCTTTCGTACAATCAGTGTACATAAATACTGTGTTATGTTAATGCGGAATTCACTAATGAAATTAATTTACGTTGGTTAAATTAAGTAGGGTTTTTTCATAATTTCTAATAATGTGCAATTAATATCTTATTAACGAACTATCTTCCTAACTAATATTATCGTTTAAAGATAAAGACTAGAGTAACTACCGTGAATGTAAATTAGTAGTCTTAACGAATAAAGACTGCTTTTGTTTAGTAGCTTATCCAGGTTGACCTTACCTATACTATCAATGCTTTGATATTAGATGTCCTGGAATTTCGATTGTTTTCCATCTCAACACATCTTCAACTACGTTGAATATGTTTTTGAAATCATATCACATTAATATAAAAACGCACAAATGTCAAGTTGACAGATCAATATATTGCTCATATCACAGGGGATTTCGGTTCATGACCACTGATCGCACTCTTAGCACACATACACACATCTAAATTGTAGTATTTGTCTGCTTATCTGAATAAATACTTATGTTTAAAATAGTGAAAAGCTGAGAAGTATTTTAACCATTTAATAAAACAAACACTTTAAGTAAATTTATCCTTTGAATTTGTTTTTCATATATTTTTTGGAAAATACATATATATCACTGACTTAAATCTCGTGTATTTCCTACAATGCATGATATAAGTAAACACCGTAAGACCAGATGGTAATAAGTGAACATTGCAAACTAAATAACAACGAAATATGTTAATGAACAGTAGAATAAATTACTTTTGCTGTTGTTGTGGTTTTAATTCCTAAAAAAAATTATTTCTATCTCAGGGGAAATCGATGAATGTGACAATTCAAGTAGTTCTTATCTCTGAATCTGTTCGTTTACAACAAGTTTTAGCAACTTATGGTATTATCACTCAAACACCTGTACAAGTTGAACCTATTCAAGTGAGTTGGCTAAAATTTTGTTTTATTCTTGTAGTTAATTTGTTTTACCTTTACGAATTCTTGTATGTTTTATCAATCACTTCGTATTTTTTATTCGAATTACTAAAGGTTTTGGTGAGACTGTAATTTATGGACAATACTTGAGCAATACTTAAGTGATCTTGAGAATATCCATCTACTTACCAGGGTAAATGAGCGTTATAAATTCATGTAAGGAATAAGGGTTAGGATTTACAGTTGAAAGTTAGGGTTAGGGTTTTATCACGAACTAACATCAGTTATAATGCCAAAATGGTATTTGGCCATATGGATGAATAAATATCTCACCAGAATCCAAGACCTGCTATCTTGAATATAACTGATGCGTCCGTAATTTATAATCTTGCAAAGGTTTTATTTGAAATTAGGTTTACTCAGTGTTCTTTTTTTATCAAACTGAATACTATTTTATTTTCTCTTCTATAAGCTTGCACTAATTTCATGAAATATTCTTCAGGATAAAAATAAAGAAACTCAGTCAATCTTTAATCACAGGTCAGTGGTACTGGCGTACTGGTATGGTTTATTTTATTTAGTCAGAGGGATAGAAGTTGTTGTTCTATCCTTCATAGAAGTAGATCACTCAGACAATATTTCTGTTAAACATTATATTCACACGACTTCATCATTATTGTTTTAATTAATATGACTTATTTTTCCTGTTATTCATTTTTCCATGTGATTTATTTTATTAGCTTTATTATAAACTTACATCTTACGGTTGGTTTTTCTCCTTTTTCAAATGGTCTCTCAACTTTTCAAATTTATTAAGCTGTAACAATATCTAATTCACAGACTATGATGTGCGTTATTGTGGTCACCAACATAATATTTGTGGATTTATAATTTTAGAGTCACGTTGTGAATATTCTTTAAGGTTCTTTTAACTTTTAAATTAGATTTATTTCATTGACGATATAGTTAAAGCTATTAGCCTTTGATACAGAAAATATAATTTTTCTCAATTTATTCATTTCTTAATTCGACTTAATTGTTTCAAAATTGATATTCATTTCATAAGATGTTTCGATTTAGCCTTGGAATATTTTATTATTTTACTAATGCCTGGTGATACAATGTGTATTTTATAATCTATGTAAAAGTGTATGAGGAAAAAGGAGTCTAGTCTTGTTGGAAGTAACTTTGAGATCCAATCAAATAGTTGGTTCCATTTTATGATTATTCATCTAATGTAGTTTCTGCATATGGACCCATACTCTCTCTCTCTCTCTCGATTTATAGATTTGGTCTCCAGATCAGCTTGTTCGTGTTGGCAAATTTATGGGTTGCAGTGAACGTCTAGGTCTATCTGGTCGTCCTCCTCGACCTTATGGACAATTAGGTACCAGTAAATTTTATAGGCAAGTTATCGTTTTGTCCAAGATCGTGTTTTGGCAAATGATTGTAATTATCATTTAATGAGGAGCCAAATATCTTGATATCTTGATACGGGTTAATAGTCCATACTCTCCACGGAAACATAAATTTGTAATTCTTTGTGGTCTTAGCATAAACTTGTGAAGATTCGTAGCTCAGGTAGATAGTTTTGGTGAAGCTGTCCTCTAATATTTACTATCTAACTAAATAAAGCCATGTGTTGTGAGTAATCTTGGGTAAAATTTTGTTCAAGTTACTTTTTAAAATTAAGTAATATATTGTCAGCCGTTTGTATCTTAACAGTCTTACTTCCTAAGTATAATACTTTGGAGTCGTATGGACTGATTTCATTATGAAAGAAGAATCCATAACCAATGTGAAAATGTTCATTAATCATGTAAAAAATAGTGAACAGTTTTGTAATTTCTTTTTTTCGATTATAAATTCTTCTTCCATATAATCTTTATTGTGATTGGTTAAAAACTATGAAAAATTGTTCAACTTCATTTCAGAAGTCTTTCAAGATCTTTGGCATGGTTAAGCTTAACTGAAAGATCATTGAAGAGAAACTAGAAATCATATACAAACTGCCATTTAATTTGTAAAAATAAGTTGACTGAATCATTTATCATGAATAAAATAAGTAAATAATAATAATAATAAAACAGGATTCATAATACTCATATTCTTAAGAAAGGAAGAGTAATTGGATAATTATGCCTTTTTTATTAGTTCAGAGAATCGCCGATTAGAAATATCGTTTTCTCATCTACAAATAAAACTGTACTGCCACTAGAATATATATTGAAGGAATGTGTTAGTAATTAAGGCTTTCGACTTCAAATCGTCTAGTCATTGGTTTGAATCCCACTCCTCGTACTTCGATTTAGGTAAACAAGGTATATCATTAATCTTTAGACGTAGAGTTTGACTTAAATCCAAGTGTACAAGTTTGTATATAGTAAGTGATACTAATAATTAATAACTACCTATCACAGGTATGTATCTCTGATGTAAACGTTTCTTAAATAAATAAAATATAAATTGTTAATTACTGTAACTCATTCACATTAATTACAAGTTAATGTGTACAGTTTTGAAGTATGCCGTTTACATGCAGGTTAGCGATACTATCCGGTTGTGCGAACCGCAATAAATAGAGTAAGGTATGACCTTACACATTATTGATTAAAAGTCGAATCTTTTAATCGCTAAGCCATTAATTGGTCTTTATTATTGTATAGCTATCAAGTGATTTAGATGATGGGTAAAATGCACACATGTACATTCACTACTAGTTTTCACCAAGTATATTTAATCCAATAAATTATGTGGCTATTTCGATTGTTTTCAAATTAAAAATTGTTTTATTAAACATGACTAGAGTGTTAGGTTCGTTAAATAATATACATGATTAATGTCTACGACCTATATCAATTAAATTGGATTATTCATTAACATTGGACACTAATCAAGTAAATCTATTAATGGATGTATTATAATCACATCATAATGAATTATGATTTAAATACAAGAGAAATAACTGTATAGCATTTTTGTTCAGTTGAATCTAATCAATAGATATCAGAGCCCCACATGCCCTGGTACGGCCGAGAGTGAGGAGAGTCCGCTCTCCCTCTCCAAATGCTCTCATATGGCCACACGTATACAGCTTCTGTCAGGGAAGTCCTACTCACTGCTTTCTCGTGGCACGGGTGTTGTTTACGGAATTGAAAGGACGAAAAGTGAATGTCCGGCGATTTAACCGGGTTGGTGGACACGGTGAGTTCACCTAGGGGAGTTGGAAAACCCTGATTCCAAACCAAGTATGGTGATGCACATAGGCTCCAGTATCCTGAAGGAACAAATGGCATGTATGAGCCAATCGTTGGTCACCGGCTACCGACTGCATCTCTTTACGATGCTCCACTGCCTTATGGATCAAACCTTTAGGTCGAAGACTCCGGGTGTAGTCCCCTAAGAAAACCACCTGTTTTGGTTTGGGCACCTGAACAGTATCACAGCCCTCACACAAATCAAATGAGGTGTGTGTGGCGCATATTTATCTGGTGCTCCCTTGTACCAGTATTTATGTGTTCAAATAAATAAATAAAATAAATATCTGATAGATATTAGTAATTAATGTGTGTCTAATATCCTGTCTATCAATTTGGCCATTTTATAGCGATCTCCTTCATCCATACTTTCACTGTCGATATCACCAACAAAAAAACCTTTTCAGGTTTTTCATGAATACAGTTTACATGATCTTTCGATTTTACACTTTATTGTATTTTTTTTTCTAATCACTCATTACTTATCTTAGAATATCTGGTTTAACTGTTCTTTGTTACCCAATATTATTTGAATCTCAAGACTTTTATCTACTTCATGATATGCAAGTGGTTATTGATGAAGCTAAGGTAGGTGAAATAATTATTGGCCATTTTATTCTTGTATTGTTTTTCCTTATTATTATGTTTAATATGAAACACAAGAATGAAGTAGGGAGTAATATTTACTATCCTAGCATGATTAGATCATGTGAATTTGCTCGAAAAGAACTCACTAGAATGGCACTTAACTAAACTAATAAACTACAAATACAATTATTCTCCCACTGATAAATCTCAGTGAGATGTAGGAAATATCAAAAGATAAAAATATCTTCTGATTTCTGTAAAGATCGATTAGTGTCAATACTGGCTCTTAATTATTACTGGAATTTGTCAATGGGTTGAAAGAATTCAACAATTCACATAAAACCGTATCATCTATTTCACTCTATGTTCAACCATTTAAAGTATTTAAATTGTGGTTTTGTTACTTCAATGAACACGTTTATAGGTGATAAGTAGAGATAGCTATGAAATTTAAAGCATATCAACAAAAATGTCAATATTTACCGTATGTTTTTGTCATTATTTCATTGATCATCTGTTAGATAGCTTAAAACAAGACATAAGTGAATATTGTTTTCCATTAGATTCTCATCAATCTTTAATCTAATATGCAATCATATCGGTGTGCATATGTGGGAAAAATAGGACTGAACTGATCAAGAAAATATGTGTGCCAGTGATACACAACTCGTAAAAAAATTTTAAAAAATGTATAGCAGAATAAGAGGTGTAGTATTAGCAATGATATTAGTAACAACCAAGAAACATTCTTTTTCGTTGTTCCTTTTGTACCCAGCACTTGAACAATAACAGCTTTTATTTCTCTCTTGTAAAATCGTTTTCTCAATAATTGATCATTTATCTGTTTGGTTATATAATCATCTATTTTTATCGATCAATTTTATTTCTTGTTCGTTACAGACTGATTTTCTATTTTTGTCTAATTGGTGGAGATTACGTGGACGTCCCACATTTTGTTTTTTGATGCGTGAAGATATGGTAAAGTAAGTTATTTAAAAAAAAGAATTCTATTCAGTATTTATGATAACACAGCATTGTTATTAATGCTGATTTCATATATTGTCTTTTTTTGGTAACCTAATATTAGTGGGTACCATTGTGTAAGATTGGTATCAACACACAAACTGTAAATATTCGATTAGGTACATTTCTATTTTCTGCACCATCACTTATAAATAAGTGTAATATCAATATCACAGCGAAAATGTTAATATGACATACAGACTATTTTTATATAGAAGATAGGTTAGTTAGTCGAATTGGTAATCTCAATTTCAAGCAAGTTAATCATATATGTTCAGTAATATTACAATTTGGATGTTAATTGATTTACTAATGAATACGTTTATTATCTTGGTCTGCTAAACTAATATAGAGTAAGAAGTTGAGTAGGTGTAGAGAATAGTATTTTAAGCAATTATCGTCATTTCATTTCATTTTATTTGTGTGTAGGCTGTAATACTACCTGGGTGCTCAGATCGAAGCAGGTGGTTTTCTTAGGGGACTACACCCGGAGTCTTCGACCTAAAGGTTTGATCCATAAGGCAGTGGAGCATCGTAAAGAGATGCAGTCGGTAGCCGGTGACCAACGATTGGCTCATACATGCCATTTGTTCCTTCAGGATACTGGAGCCTATGTGCATCACCATACTTGGTTTGGAATCAGGGTTTTCCAACTCCCCTAGGTGAACTCACCGTGTCCACCAACCCGGTTAAATCGCCGGACATTCACTTTTCGTCCTTTCAATTCCGTAAACAACACCCGTGCCACGAGAAAGCAGTGAGTAGGACTTCCCTGACAGAAGCTGTATACGTGTGGCCATATGAGAGCATTTGGAGAGGGAGAGCGGACTCTCCTCACTCTCGGCCGTACCAGGGCATTTGTGGGCAGGTGTAGAAAGCCCTTTTTGGTGTATGGTAATTTCTACCAATGTCCTATAAGCTCAAGTGTTAATTTATTTATTCAATAAATAATTCTGTTTTCCATTTTTACTTCATTGTAGCCTTCATTATATTTTCTTGATAGTTCGTATGCTTTTGACATACTATATTTGATTATATCAGTGTGATATAATAATTGTCATTCATGTTTAAAAAGATCACGATGCATTAAAAATTTAGCAGAACGAAATCTTTCTTAAACCAAGAAGTTATGAATTGGAATAATTGTTTATCATTTTGATTATTATTCGTTGTTTTGGAGATTTCAGAAATCTGGACTCAGTGTAGTTTCGAATGTTAAAATACCTTTATTTATTATTATTATGTTCGATATGTTGGAAAGCTTATAATTCTATACATGTTTTATACTATCGTTTATTTGGCCTGTTATTGTGCTTCTTTTCTTCTACTATTTCCGATTTTCCCGGTATATTTTCTGTGAGATATTCTTTGGATTTTGATAGGTGAAAAATTTATTGTTGTAATCTGAATGAGATGATGCTAGATCCCTAGAAATCAAGTGGTAAACTTATTTTTATAATTTAATTGTTGGAATTTTAATTTCTCACTTTTGCTCCAAAAGCGCCCATTATCACATCTAGTTTGTGTTTTCAACTTGGTAGGGCTCTAAACGTTATTGGTCCGTTCTCTTTTTTACTACGCTACGTTGTGACGCTTTTCATGGACATGTTTGTGTTGTGTATATTACTTATGAGTTGTATGCTTGTTTTTTGTTCTTGCGGGCTGCTTGTGGAATTATACGTTTTCAGAAGAGAGTTTTGTGGAGATTTTTAGTAATTTTATAGTTTAATTCATGAGTCAATTAAAGCTAGACCACCAAGGAAAATCTGGAAACACTGGACGGCTGTTTCGTCCTAGTATGGGACTCCTCTGAAGTGCGCATCCACATCCAGTGCTTCCAGGTTTGCCATGGTGGTCTAGCTTCAATTGACTCACGAATTCAACTATAAAATTACTAAAATCTTCACAAAACCCATTCTGATAATAATCACCTGCTCACTAGTGACTGCCTTCAAGAGGTATTTCCTGAAGTTCTAGTGAGGAGCAGTGACCAGTGGAGTTCAACTGGCTCTGTTATGAGATAGTAACTCACTGAGGACAATAGTGGAAGATGGCGCAGTTTCGTGGATTAGTTGGAGTTAGACATTAAGACCTTTGGATGCCGGCTCAGTGGTCTAGAGGTTCGAGCGGGACCGTGGATGTGCACTGCTGAGGAGTCCCATGCTAGGGTGAAACGGCCGTCCAATGCTTCCAGGTTTTCCACAGTGGTCTATCTTTAATTGACTCATGAATTCAACTCTAAAATTATATATTTTCCCTGATGACTCTGATCTTCTTCCTCTAGTTAACAGGGCTCGGGCGCAGAGGAATATCTTAGCTTGTCCTGTTGTCGCATTGCTGGTTTTCATTTCGTTCTCCGTTCCAACGTCATGTCCTTATCCCTCGAACATAGCAGATTAATATTCTCTTAGAATTAGAATGAATTTCTCTTACTGCCTTTGATACTTTACCACTAACAAGGTTTTTAGTCTTTGTGAAACCCAGAAAAGTCTACAATAATTTATTTACCATGAGACCTGGCATTCGTGTTCTTGATAAAGTGTCTAGAAAGTGTAGTGGCTTTGCTTCGTTAATCAATCGTAACCGTTATTATATAAATCTCAACTGTGTTTGAAATCAGAAGGCAATGAGAAGTGGCAACTACAGTTTATTAGCGGATAGCATTGATAACAAGGCTATAAGCACATCGAGCGACTTTGAGGCACAGAGGTGAATGTGTGTATGCGAGCAAATACAGAGCAGAGGCAAATTTATAGTCAAATCACATAAGTGTACAGCAAGCCAAAGCAAAGGCTTATAATAGGATTCGCGTATATATATACACGGGGAAGAGAATGAATCATCGAGTGATATTTAAGTGATCAACATTTTAGTTAGTCTGTCATGTGATCAAGCGTACAAGTTTATACAGTTATAATAGTGATCATAATAGTACAAAGAAATATGCGAATTGTTACTATTCAAATAGCATTATCAGTATGGGGGTTGTGGAGATTGTTAAGTTTTTGGTTGAGATCATGAATTAATTGATGTTAGACCACCGTTGGAAACCTGGAAGCACTGGACGGCCGTCTCGTCCTAGTATGGGACTCCTCAGCAGTGCGCATCCACGATCCCGCACCCCGTGGGATTCGAACCCAGGACCTACTGGCTTCGCGCCTGAGCACTTAGCCATTAGACCACTGAGTCGGCATCCAATGGTGTTAGTGTCTAACATCAACCAATCCATGAAATTGCACGACCACTTTCCATTGTACTGAGGTCGATACCTGTCTCTACCCGACACGGATTAGCTCCACTGGTCACGACTTCTCACTAGAACTCCGAGAATTCCCTCACGAAGCTAGTCACTAGTGAGCACATGTTAATTATCAGTATGGGGGTTGTGGAGATTGTTAAGTTTTTGGTTGAGACCCGTGGAGCTAATCCGTGTCGGGTAGAGACAGGTATCTACCTCAGTACAATGGAAAGTGGTTGTGCAATTTCATGGATTGGTTGATGTTAGACACTAACACCATTGGATGCCGACTCAGTGGTCTAATGGCTAAGTGCCCAGGCGCGAAGCCAGTAGGTCCTGGGTTCGAATCCCACGGGGTGCGGGATCGTGGATGCGCACTGCTGAGGAGTCCCATACTAGGACGAAACGGCCGTCCAGTGCTTCCAGGTTTCCAACGGTGGTCTAACATCAATTAATTCATGATCTCAATCAAATAGCATTATCTGTTAAGTAAGTTAACAGAAGTTCTGAACGAAAATTAACCACAGTCGAAATTGGTTGTAGAATAGTTGCTATAAGAGCTTTGTATAACAGGTTTAGTTAATTTGGTGACTACGTCAACCGCTTCAATATCCTGTATATTGATAGGAACATCTTATATGAATATGATGCCTATAAGTTATTCACCAACTCATATCATTTATATATTGAAATAGCTACCTCATAGCTTTCATAGGACAAGTGTATAGTATACAAGTGAATTCTGTTTTCCTTCGGGAATTATTGTTTTATTTTAGTTTTCTTTAAAACGTAAGTTGCTGAACTATAGGTACATTTGAACTGTCAGATGCAAACTGTAAAAATCACAATGAAAGTGTTTAGGTTCTGTACAGGGTCAGTAGTCAGAGAATCATCATTTAATGAGGTGTTAAGCTTGCATAAACTTAAAGTTTTTTAGTGATTTGAGTACATTTTATGTGCAGTACAATTAGATGTAGTAGTTAATTTTTGGAAAGTTTGAGATTTTTCGTTGTTCGGTTTTTCATAGAAATATTTGTTAGAAACTTTGATAAACATCTTCTACCTTGTTCTTTTTCTCATTTTATATAGATATTGGAGAGCTGAAATAGGGTTTTAAGTGATCGCTTTCTTTTTTTCTCACATAATAATAACAATGTAGATTACCAATTAACACCGTGTTTTGTACGTTTGTATTTTATAGGTATCATTTTTTAGCCATTTCCCTCGTTTGCTTTTAGTAGCCTTGGCTTATGTTAATAAGAAATAATCTTGTTCAAATAGAAGAAAAGACAGAACTACTTTTTACATGAAATATCCATTTTCCCTTGAATGCTAAAGATTTTTGGTTTTTTTTCTAAAGGTCAAGAAAGCATATTTTCAAAGACGAAATAACTACGCTTCATTATGAAAATGTACCGTAGTAGTGTGACTGTTCGTCTCCTAACTGACGTGGCCTAGGCTCATTAATCTTTCTCGCCTCCTATATCATGGTCAGGATGATAGAATCTCCAGTTCCCTTACCTTATAAGTAGGGCTGAAAGTTGACTACATGACTTGACATGAATAATTATCAATGTAACGAGAGTGAATTGACAACAGGACTAAACAACTAATAAATAAAAATGTCGAAGAAAATAAACAGGGATTGGTATTTTAAGGTTTTTAATGACGTTAAGTTCAAGATTCAGAAGAAAAGAACAGATACACTAGTTTCCGTATGGCTGATCTTTGAGCCACATACATGGAAACTTCCTAGTATCGAATAGAGTTGGTGGGTTTCATAACCTATGAAAATAAGGACTAGACATTGCTTCATATCTCGAATTAATGGTTGATGTGTTGTGTCTGGGCATGTTTGGCACATAATTCGACCGCTTCAAGCTATATTATTATACCATCACTTAGTACTGTTTGGCTAATATGAGCACTACCTAACTAGGTGATCACTCATCGTTTGTGAAGTTAGGTTGATTAGATTTTCTTTGTCTGATGCTAACTATCTTACATGATCACACTAATCTTGGTGATCCTTATTCCTTCAATTTATATTTGTTTATGTTTATTTTCATCTCTTACATTCTTTGTAATAGACTGCATTGATCCATTCATCATCTGATAACTTGTATCTAAAGTGAACTGTCACATAAAAACCCCTTTGTATACGATTCATTGTTTATTTGTGTTTTAAAACTGTTTTCCTAATGTCTAACATGAAATTCTCATAATTTTAATTTTTAACTGCATTATACCATCGTTATCACAACAACCATAATTATTTATCATTCTATCTAAATAAATAAAATTGTTTATCTCATGATCCATTAGTCATTTTCATCCATCAGTCCAAAAGTGTTTGAACATATTTTGTAAGAAAAATAGTTGCGATGGTGAATCAATATGTCATTGAAATGTAAATCATTCAATTATAATTTCTAGAATTATTGGTTAGTAACTAGATTGATCAAATTTCAATGCTTGTGATTGATGTGTTAATTATTTCCTCTTAATTTCTAATTATATCTCAGTTTATTGAAAAGTTGTACTATTGTATAAATGTGATTATAACATAATGTGATATATTCTTAAGTAATGCGAATATCCTCTTGGGCTGATCCTCTCCATCTCGCTATACATACATAATATCTGATTCCAACTCATCAGTACACATGGATTAGCATTTTTTTGGCAAAAATCCCTCCCGTTTAATACACTCTACAAATGTATTAATTCTTTATAAATTTTATTGCAATTTTAAAGGTCAATATGTTTAAGCCTTATATTGTATTCATAATACTACTCAAATACTACTTATAAATTTGTTTCAAATTATACTTAGTATTTAAGGAAGACAATATAAAACCATTAATGTCGCTGACATTTTAACATCCATTATTTTGGTTCTAGATTTTCTACAGTTCCTGAATTTCAACGTATATACTCACATGTTATGTTTAAAAATCTATGTCACAACACATGTTTTCTCAGTACACAACCAGAATATATGGATTTCATTCTCTGGTAATTAATACATATTACTTGGAGGAACAGATACAAATAATTGTTCACACTTAAACCTCAATATTAGTCACATGTCGCTTGTGAAGATAGTGATAGCAAAAGAGTGATTGGGTAGTTAAAATGCTTAGACTTCAAACAGAGTAGATCTCAGGTTCGACCTACTCCATTTCTGGTTCTTAAGCTTGCACTTGGTAAATGAGTTGGGTTAATGTGATAATAAGGACTATGGGGGCGGTGAAAGTAGGGCTTTATTCAACTAATCAGTGCTGCACAAAACCAGACAGACAATCACATCATATATATGTGTGGTGTATGCTACTTATGTTTACAGATATAAGTAGTAACACCAATCAAAATTGGAATATCTGGTAGCAGAACATTGAGATCAAATTGAAGACAACAGGACTGTTAATAGAGAGTTATTATAATAAGAACAGAAGTGAAGGGATGATGAATTTTGTAAGAGACAACTGATAGAAGATGTGCAAATAACGTATTTAATGTATGGTTTTCATTTTTTATGAAGGCACTCTAATTTTGCAATCAACAATAAATTCGTCTTTCCTGTTTGAGTTCTTCGTTCTTAACATGCACAGGTTTGTCTTATAGATTTCCGATAAAATCATTCGTCAGATGTTAAAATGCACTCGTAATGAGATGTGTATTTATGTGTTATATCCTGACGAGAATTATGAGTGGTAACTTTTGAGAACTATTTATGGACCACTACTATACATATCTTTTTATTGTATGACTATTAAGTGGCTAAACTATGCATATTGATGTTCCTCTTATTATAAGCTTTATTTTGACCCATAGACTATTAATATACGATTTACCATTCTTGAGTTATTCAGTCTGTCAATCACTATCTCTCACATTCACAGCCACTTTGGGCTAAATCTTGTACAGATGTTATTTTCTATTTTATGATGCGATGTGGTCTGCTTGGTTTGTATATAAACCCAGTATGTTTGAAATACACTATTCATATCGCAGAGGCTAAAATTGGTGTTCTGGACTCTAACAATTAGGACTAGGCAGGGAGAAGGACCGATAGGGACTTGAGACTGCTCATACGGGTTTACGCGTCATTGGTCCAGTCGATAAATCACTGTTCTTTAATTGGTGGCATCGTTACGTTATATATTAATATGGAACAAGGTCACAAGTTATAACAATATGTATCAGTTCCTGGCTTTCATTTCCTTTCATAATTTTCTAAGTTGGTTTTTTAATTGTTATTTGTTTTAAATAGTTGTAAATTATTTTTTCTAATATGATTATTTATTTATATTTATAATAATAGGGTCCCAGGCTTCGATAAGTTGCTTCGTTTCCTTGTCAGCATGAAAAATGGGACTGTTCAGGAAGCCCATGTTGTTTTGGGACGTGCACAGGTAAAAATTTTCTTTAGGTAGTCTATAGCTTTATCATAAGTTGTAAAGTTTATACATGTTTGTGCACAGGATAAATTGTAAGCTTTATGCCTGCTGACTTATGTTGCTCTAAACACAAATGAACAGACAAACAAACTGAATAGTATCCTCTGCATTTTTGATGAGAATAAAATTTCAGATATATGTTACATCGTGTTCTTAATTTATCAGCTGGATGTACTTACATTCCAATCCCGAATACGTGCTTGTTAAGCCACCAATGCTCTATCCACTCGGTTGTTACGTTATGGTGATTATCAGTTTCTTGAAAAGTCTATTTAAGAACTTATGTGCTATTAGAGACCAGTCAGTTTGCTTCTGAAAATCAAGAAGAAAAAATTGACTGGTTATATTATTTAATATACCAAACTGGTGTCACTAGTCCTCGAAGGTGCGTAATATCTTACATAACTAGTTAAGTTCTTTTCATAGGGTTTACTGATTACTGTAATTCTAGTCTCAACATTTCAGGTCTACCGATTTTCTCAAATGAAGGCAATAACCTGAGAGGCGTTCCGCTTTAAATACTTGTAACTTTTTCACAGTGTAATTTCGATGAAGTTTTGTTCTCTGAGCTGAATAGTTTGGTCATGTAGCTTCTGAACGACCTCATCAACATGAAATTCAGGTAGAAGTGAAGTATTCGAATTTCCCCACATCTGATTCGTAACTTGTCCTGTAGACCTCGATGTTGATTGGTTCTTGTTGACATTAAGCCTGTCATTGTTTACTTTTTTGGGAGATACAATCAAAACAAAGAAGTAAACAATGACAGGCTTAATGTCAACAAGAACCAATCAACATCGAGGTCTACAGGACAAGTTACGAATCAGGTGTGGGGGAATTCGAACACTTCACTTCTACCTGAATTTCATGTTGATGAGGTCGTTCGGAAGCTACATGACCAAACTATTCAGCTCAGAGAACAAAACTCCATCAAAATCATCCACCTGAGCTACAAATCTTCACCATCTCATGACATAATCTCCATCAACCATGTCTCACAGATGTAAATAAACTGGAACAGACTACTGTACTGTTTAGTTGAATATACTAATGAGTAAAACGGTTTCTTATAAAAGGCTTTTAGTCCTATAGCAGTCCCTGCTTGTGAATTATTTTAATCAGAATCATAAAAATAACGGAGATTGAACGGTAGCTTAATTTACGTAGACTATTGTCGAGTTTGCACAATTCGAAAACTCTTCCTAGTTCGTGTTAAGTTGCCTGTCAGTTTTCATTAATTTCGTAAATAAGATATCCAAACTGTAATATGTTCCTGTATGCTCTAATTACACCATTCATCATTGATTATTGAATATCTTGTTCAGCCGACCTTAAACACTTTGATATATGTCGTCGTCGTAACAAACACTGTAAAAAAATTAATTCCATCCGTCGTTTTATCCATGTTCTTAAAAATCAGTCAATAGCACACGTGAAAGTAATACGACTTTTTAACTAAATAAATAATACTCTTCGAATATTCACTTTCTTGAGTTTGTAGAAAGTTAAAATGTAATATAATCTTATATTTTATATTTTGTTTTATCACTGATTATGATCAATTGTTGTTGTTATGTATATCAATGGATCATAAGTTTTAACAAATTCTCTAACAAAACAAATTTCTTATGAGTACTTGTTGATTTCCACTGATTTACTTTTTTATACATTTGGAATTCCAATGATGTTTTCGTTTCTGTGATCTTTGCGTTATACTTAAGGAACTCATTGAGTGCCTTCAACGCATTGGGTTGATCACAAGATTAAAAACATTTGGAATTTTCTGATTACTAATTTTTTTCTGTTTATTTCAAGTTTGTAACATTCGACAGTTATAATAACATAAAATTCTTATATACATTAAATGAATTTTAATTAAATTTTAGAAATTTGTTGCAAGTGGATTTGTTGAACATTTAGACTTTTTGCCATATTGGACTGCTAAAGGTGAATATTTTCGTAGATTACATCAATTAGATACTGGACGTTCATATCAAAGTTTAGATAATTTACCTAAAGCAGTGAATATACCGTCGAAATCTTTAAATCGGTTTCAATCACATATGTCCGACGAGGAAATTATTCAAAGTATTCATGCTATAGATAGAAAAGTACGTTCCTCTTAACATTGACTTCAGTCTACATAGTCAAGCACTATAATTAGCACACATACTCAAGCTTTGAGTGAACAAACCTGTTATTGATTATATACATTGAATTTATGTATTTCTTGTTGTGTTTCGATAATTAACTGTCACATCTCTTATAAACTAGATTATAAAGTTGAATGTTTCAAACAAAATCTCCACATATCACTCACATAAATGATAATTGTGTGAATAGTAGTGAATAGCTTTCAGATCTAATTCTCAACGTTTTAAAGACCATCTATGAGAGTTCAACCATTTTGAGAATAAGATGATAGCATTTGTCGATCATCAAGCTATGTCCCAAATTGACTAAACTTGGTTGAAAAAGTAGACTATAGCTTGAGATTGTCGTGGTCACCACTAGTTCTAGCACCCGATATAGCAAAAGTTTAGTCTTCAGACATAACACGTGTAAATCTACATATAAACCTTCGATGGTAAGTAATATTCGGGTTTATAGGTTTAAGGTGATTACTTCTTGTCTATGTTGTATGTAATGTTGTAAAGAGTTTCAATATTCATTGAGATCTGGTGTTTCAAAAATACAAAATCTATAGCTTATAACTATCCTTACAGGGTAATTTCCCCAATAGCTAAGTCAGTAATAACAGCTTTCTCTTAATTTTAGTATTGAATTTTTTTAAATTTACATACTTGATTCTATTACTATTTTGCTTTTTCTGATGAAATATACCTTTTCGTGTTCTTTTCTCTCTGTTTAACTGTGTGGTCTGGATAAAAAACAACTTTATTTAGCTTTTACAAAAAGTAACTGATCAACAAGTAATTGAACAAGCTATCAAACCAGGTGATAGTCCATTAAATTTAGCTTATCGAATTGCTGCATTACATGAATTATTAAATCGACATGGTTTGGATCATGGTTTTTCAACTGATCAGCATTTTCTCATTGTACGTGATTGCCTCACGGAATTGTCACGAAAAGCCGGTATTCAACAGGCATGGTAAATCTCTACTCTTTTTAAATCTTGAATTTATGATAACTGAAATTTAAGATTTTTCAAATCCTTCTTAACTATTATTTATTTTAATGGTTGAGATCATGAGTCAATCGAAGCTAGACCACCATGGAAAACCTGGAAGCACTGGACGGCCGTTTCGTCCTAGTATGGGCTTCCTCAGCAGTGCGCATCTACATCCAGTGCTTCCAGGTTTTCCATGGTGGTCTAGCTTCAATTAATTCATGATCTCAACTATTAAAATTACTATAATATCCACAAAATCGTTTCTGAAAATAATAATAGTTCTTAATTTTGAGATGATTTATTGGCTGTCGTTTGACGTAGATCAGTGCTATTCAACTTATTATTAGATAAATATAAGAGAAAAAACAGATTGTTTGTGTTTATCAGTCATTATCGTCAATTAATGGCATCTATACTTTTGTTGATAACATCGTGTATTTTGATTTGTTATGTGCATTAATTTAAGCTTGATTAAACCATGTTTATCAAGTCACTAATAACTGAGCCAAAAGTTGCGTTTTTTTTTCTGGAATCCCAAAACGGTTATAAATCCTCTTACATTTGGATATAATTACTGTTGTTAAAAACGTTCAATAGTCATAATATCTGTATCCTACATCTCCTGTCAACTGTTAATATCTAGTATTATAGTTTTGGTTTACTGTATGTTTTTTTTCAATACAGTTACTTTTGAATGATTTGTTTATAAAGTATGTTTTAAATAAGATTTCTAACGTTATCTATACTTTACTCTGTCAGCAAGAATATTCACCTTCACCACAACCAATACGATTATTATTTCAATCAGGAAAATAGCACATGTACATCTTTATAGCTTTAAGTTTCTATGTATTCTAATCATACTATAAAGTTTAATTGGAGTTTTGTTTCAATACTGAATATCCTTCTCATTGGACTATTGAGATAAATTATGACTGAGGTAGATAATTTCCATAGTATTGTGTTATTCATCAACTGGATGGTTCGATTACCAGCTTTTCACTGTCATTATGGTCATCATCACGTTAATCTGATTGAAGTAGAAGTGTGAGTTTTGTTCATAATTATTCCATAAGCGTTAAGTTAATCGATTCTTATGACTTTGTTCGTGACTGATTGTCATCATAGCTTTTATTATCCTTGCATTCTTATTGACCTCCGATCATATGGTTGATTGATCTCTCCTGTGTGGATTAATAACTTGAATCGATTATGTGATTGTTTATTGTTTGGAAATTGACCTAAATAGGATGTTTCTAAAAGTATTATCTAACATTATTAAAATTTCATCAATTCATCATATATAGTATTTATCATAAGTCTGTTTATTTGCTGTTGGAAACCACCAACTATTTAAAGGCTACCACTAGACTGTAATTCAATATCATTATGTAAGGCTTAGCAAACCGTTGATGTGGCTACTGTTATGACTTGTAACAGACTAAGTAACGTTTCTGAACTTCTCATCTGTTTGTGGTAAATTTTCTAACAGCTCACTTCATTGCAATTTACGTCTCTGTATGTTTTTCATACAGTAATGTTTTATGTATATCTTTGCATATAATACTGTATGTATGTAGTATTCATATTTATTTGAAGTAACTATTAAACCTGTTCTTGTCGTGACTAAATCACAATTCACCATAAGTTGTTGTATGCTCTTCATTATTTTCAGGTGTGTAGTACGTTTATCTGCCGCTTTATTATCTCAATTCGCCAGTAGTTTAGCTCCGTCATTGTCAACTATTCTCGTCTGTGGCAAACAGCCTACTGTTGGCATTCCCCAAAGCTCAGAAGTTGTTATCAACAAACCTTTAAATCCAGATGAATTACATGCTTTATTACGTGAAGAAGTTTATTCATATGATCCGGTACAGTTTTCCTTACAACAAGAACTTATCCTATCTGTTAGTAGTTTATTGACTACAAATAAGGAGTTGTTTGATGGAATCAAATTTATACGCTTTGGGTGAGTAAATTAACATCTCGTAAATAGGGATTTGTATAATGGATATATATTTCCGACATATTTTCAAGCAGTATATATGTATATGTATTAAGTGTGGTGCATATATATTTGGCGCACCCATGTACCAATATTTATGTGTTCAAATAAATAAATAATATGTATTAAACAGACAGTCAAAAGGCAATGTAGCCTTTAGTGATAGACAGTAATGGAACACTTTTAGTCATGATCGAAAGATTATATCTTAGTTTAGTCAGTTATGGACTTGAGACAAATGTGTATCGTTCAAGTTATCATCTCCTACATCACCACAAATTAATAAGACATAAATAAACTGTTATCATCCCAAGTGGAAATATTAATATTAGGAAGTATGTTGTTCAAAACAAAAACAGAAGATCAGAGAATTAAAAAGTATGAAATAACATGAAGCTCTAAATCAATGGGAAAATAAATAATAAATACCGATACATTAATTGGATCAACTTTGAACTATTTTATTTTCTATGGTCTGCAATCACTATCTACAGTTACTGTGCTCATTCATATTTGATATTTGTTTGCTGTGATGAACTGAAATAAATTAATTTGTAATCAGTTGTTTCTTTTCTTCAATTAGACGAATCTGAATAAACTGAAGGATCTACATAGATATATGAAGTTCTATTAAAGTGAATCATTTTGACTTATCATATTTCACAATAAAAATAAAAGTGAAAATTCATAAAAATGAAATGATGTAATCATGATGAATATAAGAGAGAAAAAGAGGAAAAAAGAGACTTTTTCTGCTGGATATTGCAATGTAGAATTCTTAGCAAAAAGTGTTTCAACAAGTTTCTTTTACAAAAAAAAAGGAAAAATAAAGTGAAAGAAACTGATAACTGGATACATAAATACATAAGTAGATAAATTACTTGGAATTAAATGAAGTGTTTTTTTAAGAAGACTTGGATCTGTACAATATTTCAATTAGAAACATGTTTAAGAATACAAGTTGTTGACTAGATCAGCTCTAACTATCTGTTCGTCATAACGTGCAGTTGCTAGATAATTTATTGTAGAGATTTTATATCTTTTTTTTGTATGCATGGATTCTAATGTATTGACGTCTCGTTCTACCAGAAGATATACAAGAAAAAAGATATAAATGAAGTGGATGATTAGTATTTGATAAGATAACACCTGACAGCAATTTACAAGATGTCTGTCCATAACCATATTAATCACTATCTCAAAAAATTCACCACACACCCTGGTAACTGCCTTCACCACTCTCCGCAGTACAGCAAATCCTTTCCCAAAAGCATGCAGCCTCGTTATGTAGTAAGTCAAACGGAAAACTTTCCTCAGCAAAAATAATGTGTAAGAAAGCTAAGAGAGGTCAGATGAAAAACTTACATCATGGTAAGTGACTTTTGACACTATGTTTATCAAGGAATCTCCAATAATGCAAACATTTTAGGATTCCAACTGTGTGTTTAGGTGTTCTTTATGTCTCAGGCTAAAGTTAATCGTTTGAAATTTAGACGGGTTGTGAGACCATTAGCAACAAACCACCGTTTAATACGAGACGAGAACTCATTCGATTCAAGAGGATGTAAGGATGTAGAAATCGACATACAGACAGTGAGATCGTCCGCGTACACACAAAAGTATTTTCTGTGGAAGATGGGGGATCATACCGAAATAAAAGAGAAGAAGAGGGGAAAGAACAGTTTCTTGTGGCACACAGTGGGATAATATAAACGTCGAACACTGTCCTCCAAACACAGTGTACTGTTCTCTTCCAGAGAGGTAGGAACATAGCTGGTTGGTGATCCAGCTGTCGCTGTTGACACTGATTAATTTTTTAAGTAGAAGTCGTCTTGGAATGGAGTCAAAGGCAGAAGTACGGTCCGTAAAAGCGCATAGAACATATTTCTTACCCTTTCCCAAGCTGCACATTATATTATGCAGAACAATAGCAGCACCCAAGGTGCTCTAGCATTTGTAAGCAAACTGATATGGATGAATGTGCTCTATTAGTGCAGGCTGAAGTGGGAGTGGCAATAATATTTCCATCGTTTTGAAAAAAGGTGAAGTTATTACTATGGGTCGAAATTTCACATTCTTATCGCCAGACTTTTTCTTATGCATTGGGATTATCTTTATCTTTCTCCACATTTTTAGCATGAGATCAGTTGAGAAGGATCTGTTAAAACTGCTCGTGAATAGATAACATAGAAGTATTTAACTTTAATGATTCATGATTAATAAACTTAGTAAACGTTTACTTTCCCATTTTTAGTTGGTTATTGGAGGCAATGAAATTGAAACTTGAACTAGAAATATGTTTAGGTGTTGATGAAGATTCTTATCATCATCATCATCATCATCAACAACAACAACATCACGATGGTGAATTTTGCAAATCTAGATCCATCTATGAATCTGTATTAAAATCATTGACAAATTTAGAAGTACATCCACGTAGTTTAGGTGCATGTCATTTGTATAGTTTGCCTCCATGTCAAGTTAAAAATTTATTATTACGTACATTGAAAGCTGGTCAAGAAGGAAAAACTCAATATTCACTTGATAATTCTGTGGATTCCACAACAACATTTACCCCTACTACAACTGGTTGTACTACTACACCTACTGCTGGTAGTTTTAATTCTACTAAACCGACCGCAAATAATACTCGAGAATTATCAGTTATCACTGAATGTGGACCAACAAGTAAGAAATATTGAGTGGTTGTTTATATACTCTTGTGTTGGTTTTTTCACATGAAAAATTTAAAGTATAATTCTTACCATTTTACTGTTTACTAATTAGTATAGTAAACCCTATGCATAGGTGAATTATATCGTAGACATCATTAACTGAATGTAAAAAAATTAAGATCAGAATGCTCTCCATATATAATGAAATGACAAAAATTTGAAAATGTAGAAGCTAGGGCGTTTCGTGATCTTTAGCAGTCAATCCGGGAAGTCGTTACGGATCAACGGTTGTTGGTACAACATAACCACCTTTTGTTATACAGTTTTATGTCGTATACTGCTTACGTTTTTGTTTTATTAATTGAATCCTAGCGTCGACAAAAATATCCATTTTGAAAATTGACGTAAAAGTGAGCAAATCATCGAAACCATTATTTATAGATCTTAACCGTTATTGATTGACTTTCTCCACCGTGTCGAAATTCATTTCTGGACATCAGCATCACTAATACAGTGTTACTATTTTATGTGAACAATCCTTTCTTGATAGTGATTATAGAGCGTAAATGTTTCTTAAATGTCTTTCAAGAGGTCCCATCAAATTTGTTTCTGTCCAACTACTATGTTAAGTATTTTTTTGGCTTAACTGGACCAATATAAAAATGACCAGAAAAACGATAGACAATCAGTGTTTTTGAACCATTTTTGAGACCTAATCATCTCTCTAAGAATTTACCTATTTTGAGTTACGTACATAGCTGATACGCAGATATTTTTATTTATAACAATTCTTCTCGTGTCTATAGTTATTAATCCCGGTTAAGTATTGAATTTTTCATAAGAAAAAGAGAATTCAGCAAAGAAAATTTTCTTCTCGACGAAATCATTTACTTAAACTGTACATTCATATTTATAGGTATATGGAAAATGTATGTCTATAGGAGGATAAAAATGATTGCATCACCAAAATGGATTCGAGAATAAATAACAAATGAGGTTACGTACCAATTAAGGGGTAAGGAAGAAAATAATTTATGGGTCAGATAATAGTCCAATCGACAGATATGAAGATTAGCGACAAACACAGTGGTCATAATGATAGACTGAATAATAATCAACGGCCGTCCATTGCTTACAGGTTTTCAATGGTGG